ATAAGCTGGGCTGTTACCTGTGCACCAGGTGCATCTCGCTGGGTTTTAAACACCAGAGGCTCAGCCTCAAAACTCACGTCTACATGTCACCACAGTAGGATAAACCGACAGACAAGTTTGTCTTGCTGTTGGAGACCTCTCGTATCACCCCCTGTGGCTGACTATTCCTTTGTCTGGCTTCCTGGCTTTTAATCCCCTTTCTCCTGCTCTTCTGGCCTGCTACTCTGGGCGGTCCTGAGTTTCCCCCTCCTCACCTAATCCCGTCAGCTGATTGCTCTTCTCTCTGGCTTCCTGGCTTTTATCCACTTTCTCCTGCTCTTCCAGCCTGCTACTCTGGGCATCCTTGAGTTGTCTCTCTTTACCTGTAACCCTGGGGCTGACTGCTCTTCTGTCTGGGTTCAAGGCTTTTATCCCCTTTCTCTTGCTCTTCCGGACTGCTACTCTAGGCATCCCTGCGTTGTCTCTCCTCACCTGTAGCCCTGGTCTAATCCATACTGCAGACTGTAGTCTTTAATCTTCATCAGTAAGTGCTTCAAGTCATCCGCACTTTCAGCAAAGTTGTGTTATCTGCATATCTCAGGTTGTTAATGAGCCTTCCTCCAATCCTGATGCCACATTACTCTTCATATAGTCCAGCTTCTCAGATTATTTGCTCAGCATACAGATTGAATAAGCATGGTGAAAGAATAAAACCCTGATGCATTCCCTTCATGATTTTAAACCATGCAGTATCCCCTTGTTCTGTTTGAATAACAGCCTCCTGGTCTATGTACAGGAGTACATGAGTACAATTAAGTGTTCTGTGATTCCCATTCTTCTCAATGTTATCCACAATTTGTTGTGATCCACACAATTGAATGCTTTTGCATAGTCAATAAAATACAAGTAAACATTTTTCTGGTATTCTTTGCTTTGAGCCAAGATCCATCTGACATCAGCTATGATATGATTTTACTTTGGTTACATCTATATCTGGGTGGGTTTTTGGTGATGTCATGTATGTAATCTTGAGTTGTTTTCTGCCCTTGTTTGTTCTCTGTCTGAAGGACTCCCTTTACCATCTCTTGTAAGGTTGGCTTGTGTTTTACAAAATTCCTTAATTTCTGTTTATCTGGAAATGTCCTAATTGCACCATCATATTTGAGGGACAATTTTGAGATATGTAATTCTTGGTCAGTAATTTTTTCCTTTCAGGGTTTTATATATGTCATTCTATTGCCTTCTTGCCTGAATGTTTTTCTGCTAAGAAGTAAGAGCTTAGTCTTATTGGTTGGCCTTTATAGGCAAATTGTTTTTTCTGAGCTGTTTTCAGGATTCTTTGTCTTTGATTTTGGAGGTTTGATTATGACATGTCTTGGTGATTTTATTTTGGGGTCTACCTTTGAGGCTCATTTAGCTTCTTGAATGTATATCTCTTGTCTTTCATCATATTAGGGAAGTTCTCTCCCAACAAATCTTCAACAATTTTCTCTGTAATTTTTTTTGTTTCTTCTGATCATATGTAAGTTATTTCTTTTGATGCTGTCCCACATAAATCTTAGGCTTTCTTCTTTCTGATTGTTCTTCTAACAAAGTAGTATTGAGAGTTTATCTTCAACCTCACTAATTCTGTCTTCCATTGATTCAATTCTACTCCTTTGTCCTTTCAGTGTATTATCTATTTCTGAAATCTTAGTATTAATCTCCATTTCTATTTGTTATCTTTGCATGGTTTCTAATTTTTCATTTGTTTTGTCAGTTTGTTCGTGTATTGTTTTCCTGAATTCTTCTAGAGATTTATGTTTTCCTTGATTTTGTCAGTGTTTTCCTTGATCTTCTTCTCAATCCAGTGACAATGGCTAAATGTAATTATTTTGCACTCCTAAACAGGGATTTCTGATGTAATTTCTTTCTTAAAAGTTTTCTTTGTATTTTGGCCTGTTTTTATTACTTTATCTTGCTCTTTTGTGTGAACTGAAATTGTTGTCTCTGAGACACTGTGATGTATTTGTGTTTAATTGGTAATTGTTTGTTGGTGTGTTTTGCCAGGGTTTTTTGCTTTATTTTGTTTTGATATAGCCAATTGAGTGAGGCTGGTTTGCTACTCTGTTCACTAGTTTGGTAGCACATGGTGCTCACCACCTGTCTCCTGGGGTGTGTGATAGAGGATGAGGATGTATGCAGAGTTCTCTGATTGCTGTTCATATAGAGCACTTGAGGATGGTGGGGCTGGTGTTGGCCACCGTCTATTATTGATCACTTGGTGCAGAAGCAAGTAGTGACCCTCACCAAGTGGGTGGGGCTGCAGAAGATGTCAATGTAGCTGGGTAATGTGGGCACAGCTGCTAACTCCCACCAGGTGGGACAAAACAGCAACAACAACAACAAAAAAGACAACAAAAATAAAAGAGGAAAAACAAAACAAAAAAAAAACCCACCGTAAAGAGAAAAGATAAATGAAAAGAAAACAGAAAAAAAGGGAGAAGAGAGCAAGAAAAAGAGAATAGTAAAGAAAAAATAAGAAAAACACCAACAAATAAGTGATAGAAAAGAAATAAAAATAAAAAAGGGAACAATAAAAAGAAAAGGAGGGAAAGAAAAAAAAAAAAGAAAGGACAAAACCCAATGGCTAGGGCACCCAGGCAGTGTTCCTGCTGGCCAAGCAGGCAGTAGGGATCAGGGCATCTGGAGTTCCTGCTAGTCTAGGGGGAAGCTGGGGGTAGGATGCCAGGACCCAGGAAGTTTTCCTGCTGGTCCAAAAAGTGGTTAGGGGCAGGGTGGCTGGGGGCAGGATGTCTGATCACAGAAGGAATTCCTGCTGGCCTAGAAGGTGGCTGGGGGCAAGGCTCCTGGACCTGGAAGAAGTTTGTGCTGGTCTAAAAGGTAGCTGGGGGCTGCATACCTGATACCAGAAGTAGTTCCTGCTGACCTAGTAAGTGGCTGAGGTAGGAGGCCTGGTTGCAGGAGTTCCTGCCAACTCAAAAGATGGCTGGGGGCAGGTCGCCTGGTCCTGGAATGAGTTTCTGCCTGCCCAGAAGGTGGCTGGGGACCAGGCACCCATTCTGGGATGGAGTTCTTACTGGTCCAGAAAGTGGATGGGTGGGTGAGGAGATGGCCACACCTCTGGTCACTGAGAGGGTATAGGAAATAAAGGGAATAAAGTATATTGCATCTTTCTGGTTGCCAGCTACTGGTGTGGGTGACTGTGTAGTCCTCGGCAAGTGGAGCAGATTATCAGGTTGCTGCCCCAATAAGAACGCTGCTTGCAAAAATTCAAAATGGCTACGCTCTTAGGAGCTCTGGTAGCATAGTGGCTAAAGCACTTGACTGCTAACCAGAAGGCTGGTGGTTCAAACCCACCAGCCACTCCTCGGAAGGAAGGTTGGGCAATCCTACTTCCGTAGTGATACTGCCTCGGAAACCCAAGGAGGGGTCGCTATGAGTCAGGGCTGACTCGACGGCACATAACAACAACAACAACACGCTCTCAGGCCAGCTGACAGGCTGCAGCTCCACTTGTCTTGTTGTTCAGTGTTTTCATTCAGTGTCTTCTTCTAGATGGTATTTTTGAGCCATTTCTTTATCCTTTCCTTTGAAGCTCAGGGTATGAGGATTATCCTCTGTATCCACTTCATTTTGTTTCTCATTTGTTTGTTGTAGAGGGTCTGGGTAGCTTGTCTGTCTATTCTGCTACCTTGCCCAAAGTGGTAAGCTTAGTTTTGATAATATAATTGGACGAGGAAAAAAAATTTTCCAGGCGTTGGAATGGGTGTTCCCAAATGCCCACTCTGCTGGATATTTGCTGGAGTTTTTAGGCAGCAAGCATCTGAAACCATTTTCAATTTGGGGAGATTGCCTATCCCTTGAGTCTTGAAGGGAGCCAGTACCCCTCCTTCCACAACTGAAGCTGGTGGCTTGGGTAGAAACCAACTAACCCATCAGACCTAGGCTTTTGTAGGAGTAGTGCAGTCACCAAAACAGTTGGGGTTTATTAGACAGTGGAGGTGGGGGCCCAGCATCCACCTTGGTGCCCCGTTTTCAAGCCTAGTTTTCCAGTCTTCCCAGAGATTCCTAGTCCTGACAAATGCCCTACCAAGAAATCCTTTTCTTCTTCAGGGTTGATGCCTGTAGTTTGTAAACAAGAACCCCCTCCCATTCCAACATGCCCCAGGTGACATACACACTTTCCATGTATGTGTAACTATCAATTTTTATTGGGAAAAGAAAACAATATAGCCGTTTTACATCTTAAGTTGAAGTGCTCCTCTACTTGTTTCCCCTTCTTTCCACAACTGTGAATAAGCCCCTCTCATCACAAAAAGGGGGAATACTGCACTATTTAAGATCCATAAATTAATTACCAAATAATACCCAAGACTTAGGTAATGTCACATAAGAATATTTGGAAGGCATATCCTGGTAATAGCAAAAGCCCTACCGCACACCCCTCACCATCCACCATCCCTACCTCAGGGTCTCCTTCATCCTCCAAGGTCTTGAAGCCCTCAAAGGAAAAGCAGCAAATAAACCAGCATCACCCCCAGTTATGTGACTGTGAAGCTGTCACTGCCAATAACTAGATGAAGGGAGGTGGGAAGGGTGTTTTGTCAGGAGGTCAGGTCCCTGCAGTCCAGGCCATCTTGGAGGGCAGGGAGTGATGGCCAAGGTCACTCCTGATGGCATCCAGTTGATCCTGGAGGAGGTGGACTCTTTCGTCCAGGCTGCGCTGCTGGGCCAGGACAGCAGCCCTGTCAGCTAGCAGGCTGCAGTAGGCGTGCAGCGCCTCTGCAGGCAACGTCCGCACCAACACTTCACGCAGGGCCCGCTCCCGCCGTGCCACATGCTCCTTTAGCTCTTTGGCGTCCTCTTGCTGCCTCTGCAGGAGGCTGAGTCGCTGCAGCAGAGAGGCCTGGAACAGTGAGGAGAGGGCACCATGAGCAGGGTGGGGCTCCCAGGTTGGTTCCAGTGGGAGATTTAGGCCCCTCTCTGCCCTGCTCACCCACAGCTTGAACCCCTTTTACCCGCTCGTCAGGGTCACCATTTGAGCCCGCCTGGATCAGGGCACAATGCACACGGGCCAGGCGAGTGCCCAGCAGCAGCAGAAGGCCCAGCACACGCTCCAAGTCGGCCATGAACCGGCTGAACTGCTCTAGCTCCCGGGGTGCACAGGCCTGGCCCACCATGGACTCTAGAGCCACTCTGCGCCTGGCACATGCCTGGGACGCCACTTGCAGCTGCTCCTGTTCTACCTGAAGTTCCTGCAGCATCTTTTGGAGAAGGTCAGCAAGCTCCACCTGCATGGTAGGCATAGTACTCTCAGGCCAGACTCTGGACTCTTGCCCCAGCTGACCTCCCTCCAGCCACTCCATACTCACCTTCTTAGCATGGATGCCGCTGGTTGATTCAGGGAGCCCCTGGCCATATGGCTGGTCAGGTACAGAGTGCGTGGTAGAGTTTTCAGGCTTTGCCTCTTCCTGAGAAGTTGTCAGGAACTGAGTGGCAGAGTTGAGAAGATTGGACCTGGGGAAAAAGCCAGAGCTCCCTGGGTTGTCCTGCCTCACTATTCAGGCTGGCTCAGAAGCCCGAGTCCCTGGTGCCTTTCACTCACCGTGGCTCAGAAGTACTAGCCTCCCCACAGGCTGGCCCCATTGCAGCCCAGACCTCAGCTAAAGGAATAAGTCCATCCAACACTTCCAGGGGTGGCTCTGGGCTGGGATGGGAAGCAAAGATGTCACTCAGAGAGGGATCTAGCCTGGTCAGCTCCTGAACCAGCTCCTCAAGGCGTTGATTGGGCCATGTTGACCTGGAAGCAGGTTTGCCAGTGCCCCAGGCCTGGGCAGTGTGGTCAGAAGGGCCTGGGGTATCTGGAGGTTCCAGGGCATCAACTAGGAGAGGTTTAAGGGAATCACTCTCTGCAGCTTCAGGGGGGTCAGTGGTCAGCAGTCGAGTAGTGTCCATGGTTGGAATGACACCATTTGTGGTTCCAGAGGGGTTACAACATGTGTTTCTGGAGTCATCCACAGAACTGTTCACCCCCTGCCAGCAACTGTCTGCCCCTGCAGCCTCTGGGTGCTCATAGAGAGGGTGTTCTGGGATGACTGAAGCCTGGCTAGCCCTTTCATCCAGGCCAGCTCCATACTGTTGACTAGAAGAAGCACGGGTACTAAAGTGGAAGAAGACAGTGAATTAAAAAAGCCCCAGCCACAGACAAGTAGTAGCTTCCAAGAGCTATCTGCTCCCACCCCTACCATCTTTGATCCCAGGATCTGGCTAGGAGATGGTTCGCTTTCCCTCCAGAATTTTGTGGATGTGTAAGGGCGGGAGGTGAGGTGGGGGTGGGGGGTTAGTATCTCACTCTACTTGGAAACAGGAGGAAATTCACCTGACTGGAAGCATCTGGGGGCCACGGGAGTCTTGAGGTAATCTCATTCTAATCAGGGGGGCTTCTTCTAGGAAAACTTCATTATCAGGGAGGGTGGGGAGCTGGGCAGACACAATGCAGGTTTCTGAGGCCTTCTGCTCATGGTTGGCAGGGCTGTCCTGGGGACCTTTGGTAGGACACATCACTGCAACTGCCTCTTGAGTCAGGAACCTGGAGGCAAGGATCCCCACAGGCAATGACCCCAAGTAGCCACTGTGACCAGAAAGGAAGCTCTCTGTGCTACACCAGGAAGACAGAGAAACTGGAGGGAAGGGCACATGGTTTGCAAGAGACAGAGTCAGATGGCTCAGACTGAGGGCAGGTGGAGGGCCTTCTCCTTTCTCGGGCAAGAACTGTGAAAGCTGCCTCCCCTAAATTTTGTTCCCAGAGTGGTCCTTGTGTCTCACCTGGAAAGTTTGGTCTGGCACAATGGTCGGGGGAGTTCTGCTTCTTGGGGACTGGCCTGGAAAGGCAAACAGTTGATAAAATGTAGTGTGAATTTTTAGGCTCCTAGATGATCCAACCCTCTAGCCTGCATCACCCATCATCCATACCTGAACAATGGGTAAGACCCTAGCTGGGCCTCCCCAGTGGCCCAAGACTTCTGAAGTGCTCTGACTCCGACTGACAGGCCTGCAGGCCTCACAGAGCTTCAAGAATCCAAGGTCTGGGGCTGTTTGGAACTGGGTCCCAGGCAGCCATCTGACCTGACGGCCTTTGAGCTCAGTCCCACGCTGCATATCCTGGAACTCGGGCCTGAAGAGGCCAGAGCTGCAGTAAGCATCACCCAAGCATTCCCCCACAGGCCCAGTGCCCTGACCCATTCTATTTAGCTTCCCTGGTTCTGAGAAGCAGTACTTCTGCTGCCGGACGGCGAGTTGCCCCTGGCGGGCAATTCCCGGTGAGGGAGCTCCAGAGAGCGCACGCTCCACTTCCCCAAACGGGTGGCTGAGCGAGGCGGAGCGTGGGTGCGCGGTGGAAATCCTCGCTGGCACTGCGGGCCGCAAGCGGGCGGGCAGGCTCATGCGGAACTCTTTGCGCTGGAAGGACGTCTCCCGAAGCACTCGCCGCTGAGCACCCTGCAGCCGCTGACGGTAGGCAGCCCGAGAGGCCGGGGGGCTGGGCGGCTCTGCAGCCCGTGCTGCGGCCTCAGCCTCGGCAGCCAGCGCGTACAGCAGCGGGGTGGCCTGCCTGTTGAGCGGCCCCGGGGTCCCCTGTTCCTGTGGGAGGTGGGGCCCAGAAACTGTAGCTGCTGCCGGAGAAGGCCAGAGGCATGAGCGATAGCCGGGGGTGGGCGGGGCCGTGGCCAGGCCACCGCGCACCACGCGCATATAGTCCGGGTCTAGGTAATGAACAGGGTCGGTCTCGGGCGATGGAGTGCGTGGCTCATGACCACCTGAGGCCACAGATAAAGAGCTGTAGGCTGAGTCTATGTGCATCGACAGTCGCCGCAGGTCCAGGCTGCAAGTAGAGGAGGCTGGGGAGGCGCTGTCATCTCCAGGATCCAGGGCATCCATGGTTGCCAGGATGGACGCTGAGGCCAATTGGCTCAGTGGGTCCTGGAAGAACATAGGCGGGGTGGTGGGTGAGGATCTGCAGGTTGCTGTTAGGACAACCTGGTGGTCCCTCTAAGGGGGGCTCACATGCCCCTTTTTTTTGTCCTTGCTGGCATCGCCCCAACCCCAAAATTTTGCATACTCACCTCAGGGTCAGAGATACCTGTGGAGCCACTTTGGAGATTGAAGGCCTTGGCTTGGGAACGAAGCAGAGAGTAAATAGTCCATTTTCCACTGGGTCTCCCCATGTGCAAAGCCTCAACCTCTAACCCAGTACCTCCTAGTGACAGATGTGCCCATGCTCCTTCCCATCCCAACCTGTCCTGCCCAGGCAGCTTCCCCAGGCTCTGCTCACTTCCTCAAGTTAGTTTTCTCTGTTAAACAATGGTCAAGAGCATTCTGAGGTCCCAGAGGAGCCAAGAAAGGAGAGAGGAGACCCAGGTCATGGGGCAGGGGCAGCTTCAAGGCCTTTCTCCCTTGCTACATGCCATTATGTTTCAGGTGCTTATATTAGCACTTTTCTTGATTCTCACCACTGTTAACCTCCATTTTACTGAAGAGGGCACTGAGGCCCTGAGGGGAAAATGATTTGTCCAGAGCACAGAGCTGGTAAGTGCTAGAGCCCTGCCTGGAATCTGGGCCTGCCTCAAAGCTCACTGCAGCCAGAATCAATTTCCTAAAAGCAAACTGCTGAAAAGCTAGTTTCCTGCTCCCTGCCCCCTCCACCACAGCTGCCTGAAGCGTCCAATAAAGCCCAAACTGTGGGAAAAAGTTCCCCTAGCCTCCCCTAAAACTACTGACAGATTCCAGAAAATGTAGTCTTTGCTTCTGAGACTCTGGCTTTTGTCTAGTAATAACTGGCTTATCCTCCTGTTACTGGCTTCTCCTGTAGGACTCAGCTGCTCAGAGGTCTGCTGACCTTTTGGGATTTCAGGAGTGTCCTGAGCTTGCACAGTCACCTCAGGGTCAGAGAAACACTGATTGCACTCATCACTACAGGTAATTGTTGGCTCACTTATTTTTTCCTCCTCTCATTCTACCCCTGAGCTTCCTGAAGTCAGGCCCTACTCTTACTTCATTTCTGTACCCTCAGTGCCTGGCACTGTGCCTGGCATGTAGTCAGTGTTAAATAAATATTTGTTGACTGGCAAAGGAGGGAGCAGACTTGCAGGGAATAGATGTGGGGGTGACCTTGGTAAAGAAGCAGTAGGTTCCTTAGCTTCTGCCCACCCCTCTCCCTCTTCATAGTAGTCTTTTCTGGGGAAGGGGACAGAGTGCATGAAGCAGTTGCCATCATGGACACTGACCACTGTTAGGAACTAAGAGACTAAGCAAGCCCAGCTTGGAGCAAAACTGGCCAGAAATCAATACCTCCCCAGTCCTGGGAGTGGGGGCAGGGGCGGCAAGGGGAGGCATGGGTCAGTGTGCAGTGCCCAGACTGGGATCATCCTCTCACCAGGGGTGAGAGCAGCATGAAAGCTTAGGATTCTGGGGCTCCCTGTGGGCTATGGGACTTTGGGAGGGCTTGCCTTCCTTGAGCTTGGTAGGGAGTGCAGGGTAAGGTGGCCTGTAGGTAAGGACCAACGAGTAAGCTTGTCTGGAGCCTTCTAGACACTATTTGGAGGTCAGAGCCATCTTCCCCCCCGTTCCCTGAGTCCTGAATATGCTATAGATTTCTAGTCAGGGCAGGTAGGGGTGGGAGTGGTGGGAGGATACAGTGTTTCCTAAAAGGAGAGGCAGCACCTGAAACATTCTCAGCTGACCTGGGACCAACTAGGGAAATCTTTATGCCCACCAAGCCCAGCTGAGTGGTCCTTCCACTTAGGCTTGAGGACCTCTTTGCAAGGAATTTCCACCATGGACTTCAGGAAGACAGAAAAAAGCACAGTTACTCTGAGTAGCCCACCACTCTCTGTCAGTTTGTTGTACTGTGTTAGCTTGAGTGTTGCTGTGAGGCTGGAGTCTATACCACCATTACTTCAAATACCAGCAGGGTCAACCATGGTGGGCAGGTTTCAGCGAAGCTTCCAGACTAAGACAAACTCAGAAGAAAGAAGGGACCATCTACTTCTCAAAGAATTGGCCATTAAGAACCTTATGAATAGTAGTGAAACACTGTCTGATATATTAGTGGAAAACTTGATAAATACCCCTGAAACAGTGTCTAATATAGTGATGGAAGATGAGCCCCTCAGGTTTGAAAGCACTCAAAATATGACTGGGGAAGAGCTGTCTCCTCAAAGTAGAGTTGACCTTAATGATATGGATGGAGTAAAGCTTTTGGGACCTCCATTTGCTGATACGGTATGGCTCAAAGACTCAAAGTAGGAAGAAATAGCTGCAAACATCCATTAATAATCAGAACATGGAAAGTACAAAGTATAAATCTAGGAAAATTGGAAGTTGTCAAAAATTAAGTGGAATGCATAAAGATTGATATCCTAGGCATTGTTGCTGTTGTTGTTATGTGCCGTCAAGTCGGACCCGACTCATAGCGACCCCTCCTTGGGTTTCCAAGACAGTATCAATACGGAAGTAGATTTCCCCATTATCTTTCCAATCCTAGGCATTAGTGGGTTTCATATAGACTGGTTTTTGCCATTTTGAATCAGACAACCATATGATCTACTATGCCAGGAATGCCAAACTGAAGAGGAATGGCATGGCATTCATCATCACAAAAAATGTTTCAAGATCTATCCTGAAGTACAATGCTGTCAGTGATATAGGATAATATCCATACACCTACAAGAAAGGCTAGTTAATACTACTATTACTCAAATTTATGCACCAACCACCAGAGCCAAAGACGAGGAAGTTGAAGATTTTTACCAACTTCTGGAGTCTGAAATTGACCAAACATGCAATCAAGATCTATTGATTATTACTGGTTATTGTAATTCAAAAGTTGGAAACAAAAAAGAGTCACTGGCAGTTGCAAAATAGGGCCTTGGTGATAGAAATGATGCCAGAAATCCCATGATAGAATTTTACAAGATTAACAGCATTCATTGCAAATACCTTTCTTTAACAACAAAAATGGTGGGTATACACATTGAACACACCAGATGGAAAATACAGGAGAGAATTTGACTACATCCGTGGAAAGAGGCAATGGAGAAGCTCAATATCTTCAGCCAAAACAAGGCCAGGAGCTGACTGTGGAACAGACCATCAATTGCTCTTATGCAAGTTCAAGTCGAAGCTGATGACATCTAGAACAGGTCCACAAGAGCTAAAATATGAGCTTGATTACATCTCACCTGATTTAGAGACCATCTGAAGATGCACTGAACACCAGTGACCAAAAACCAGATGAATTGTGGGATGACATCAAGAACATTATCCATGAAGAAAGCAAAAGATCATGAAAAAGACAAGGAAGGAAGAAAAGACCAAAATGGATGTCAGAAGAGACTCTGAAACTTGCTCTTGTATGGACAGTGTTGTTGTTGTTGTTATGTGCCGTCGAGTCGGCCCCAACTCATAGCGACCCCTCCTTGGGTTTCCGAGGCAGTTATCACTACGGAAGTAGGATTGCCCAACCTTCCTTCCGAGGAGTGGCTGGTGGGTTTGAACCGCCAGCCGTCTGGTTAGCAGGCAGGTGTCTTAGCCACTATGCTACCAGAGCTCCTAAAAACGCAGCGTCCCTGGGTGGGCTACTATGGACAGTAGCTAAAGCAAATGTAAGAAATGATAAGATAAAAGAGCTGAACACAAGATTTTAAAGAGCAGCTCGAGAAGACAAAGTCAATTATTATAATGAAATGTGCATTATAACTTGGAGTTAGAAAACCAAAAGAGAAGAACACACTTGGCATTTCTCAAGCTGAAAGAACTAAAGAAAAAATTGAAACCTCAAGGTGCAATACTGAAAGATTCTATGGACAAAATATTGATTGATGCAGGAATCATCAAAAGAAGATGGAAGGAATACACAGAGTCAATGTACCAAAAAGAATTGATCAATGCTCATCTACTTCAGGACATGGCATATGATCAATAACCAATAGTATTGAAGGAAAAAGTTGAAGCTACACTGGGAAACTGGAAAAAAGCAAGGCTCCAGGAATTGACAGAATACCCATTCAGTTGTTTCAACAAATGGATGCTGCACTGGAAGCAGTTACTCATCTATGCCAAGAAATTTGGAAGACAGCTACCTGGCCAACTGACTGGAAGACATCCATATTTGTACCCATTCCAAAGAAAGGTGGTCCAACAGAATGTGGAAATTATCTAACAATATCATTAACATCATACACAAGTAAAATCTTGCTGAAGATAATTAAAAAACAATTGCAGCAGTATCTTGACAGGGAACTTCCAGAAATGCAAACTGGATTCAGAAGAGAATGTGTAATGAGGGATATCATTGCTAATGTCAGATGGACCTTGGCTGAAAGCAGAGAATAGCAGAAGGATGTTTACTTGTGTTTTATTGACGATGCAAAAGCATTCAACTGTGTGGACCATAAAAAATTGTGGACAACATTGAGAAGAATGGGTATTCCAGAACACTTAATTGTCCTCAGGAGGAAAGTGTACATAGACCAGGAGGCTATCGTTCGAACAGAACAAGTAGATACTGCATGGTTTAAAATCAGGAAGGGAGTGTGTCGAGGTTATATTCTTTCACCACATTTATTCACACTGTATGCTGAGCAAATAATCCAAGAAGCTGGACTGTATAAGACGAATGTGGCATCAGGATTAGAGGAAGACTCGTTAACAACCTGAGATACGCAGATGACACAACCTTGCTTGCTGAAAGTGAAGATGACTTGAAGCACTTACTGATGAAGATTAAAGACTACAGTCTGCAGTATGGATTATACCTCAACATAAAGAAAGTGAAAATCCTCACAAGTGGACCTATAAGCAGCATCATGATAAATGAAGCAAAGATTGAAGTTGTCAAAGGTTTCATATTACTTGGTTCTACAATCAACACTCATGGA